AAACAAATACACAACAGAATATCCAAACCATTTTCCTAAACATCATGAAAGTGACCATTTACTATTGTAAAAGAAATAACATTAGTCAATCAAGAAATATGCAGTGAAGCCAGGGGAGATGACATTCCACACAGTAAAATCTCTAGAAACAAACGAGCTGATAATTTGAAAAAAATAATAAAAAGTAAAGCTTATTAATTCAAATTTGGTGAGGGAAGAACTAGGATTCTCACTCATTGCTTGGAGAATGAGGAATAATAAACACTTCTGTTAACTCATACATATTCAATATCCAGTGATTTCACATTACTCCTAAGCAAGAATGAAACAATAACATACAAATGTCTCTTGAAAATCTAAAGACATGTGTAACATACTTAAGTATGTTTTTTCATAAATTTCAGGATGAAAACAACACAGATGTTCATTTATAGAAGATGATGGGATACTACAAAAGATGGATACTACAAACAATCCAATACTGCAACAGATGGATAGAGGATGATAGGTGGATCTGAAATATATTCAGTCAAAAATTGTGCATTCTTCTTATAGAAAATCCATGAGTAGACAAAAGATATTCTTGCTAATATGTCTGAATAATACCTGCTTATGAAAGGCAAGGACTCCTATTTTATATCAGTGAGGAAAGTAATATAATTCTTGATTTGAGTGGTAAATGTACAGATATAAAGTTCATCAGAAATGGTACACTTGGATCTGATTATTTTACTCTACATAAACATCATAGAACAATTTTAAAGTAGAGTTAATTATGATAAGGATAAAGTAATATCAGAGGTGGATAACATTTTATTTTCATAGTAGTTTTTATTGCGCTTTGAACTTTGAATGTACTTCAACTCTGTAATATCTATAGTATAATTATTTATTATCATTAATGGATGATTACACTAAAGCTCTGAGAAATTAAACTATTTGTCAAGGCAATATAATTAGTAAAGGCTAAAGCCACAATCTCAAGTGATTTGGCTCTGGAACTTGAACCCCAAACTATAATGTTCTGTTGCTTTTTGGAGGTAATGCTACCTGAGAAAATAATTAAATTGGAGGAAAGGTCAATGAAATGCCATTTCCTCTCTCCATCCATTCTAGTTAGCATAATTATGAATTACTGTAAACATATTTTCAGATATTTTCTCATTTTCTTTTTGGTCTGGCTATGCATATTTTCTAATTAAAAGTTCTCTGAGGTTTAATAAGGTTTAATTTATAAAATTATACATATTCACGATATACAATTTCATGTTTGACATATGCACACATTATGAAATGATTAAATAACACTGCTTAACCTATCCATTGTCTACTCTTATTTGTCAACTTTAGAGGGGACAATATTTGACACTAATTCTCTTAATTTTTAAACAACAATGCATTATAGTTAATTTTAATTATCAGATTATGATGTACTACAAAGTTTATTCCACCTGGCTCTGGTGGTTTGAATTAGTTTCCAGTAATTCTCTGGTATTTGTATACTCTGTCCTCAGTTGGTTGCTGTTTGATAGGGCTTTGGTGGTGTGGCCTTGCAGGAAAAATATGGTGGGAGAACTGACTGAGATTCCAAAAGACTCATGTGATTTCCAGTTCTCTTTTAGTTTCTTATTTTTAGTTGGAGCTCTCAATTGTTCCTGTTGCCAGTCAAGGTGCTTGCTGCTATGGTTTCCAGCCATGATGATGATGGAACCTTATCCCCTTAGATCCATAAATCTCAGATAAACACTTCCTTCCATCAGCTGCCTTGATCATGGCGTTTTATTACAGCAACAGAAAAGTGACTCATAGATTGGTCAATGGTTACTTTACACTAATTTGACAAATATTTCCTCATCTCCTCCACCTTGTAGCTTCTGTATACCAAGATTCTATTCTACTCTCACCTTTAATGTATTTGACTTCATCACATTCTACAAATAAATGAGATTGGATACTTAAAAAAATATTGTTTAGACCTTAGATAAAATTTGAGCTAAGGTTTCAAATAACAGAAAGCTATTAGTTTTCAAATAAGAACACAGCTTCAGAGAGATAGAGGTATGTTCCTAGGATAAAATAAATAAGATTAGTATCAGATTTATAAGATAAATAGTTTCTACTAACTGGATAGTGCGAAAAGGTATTTCCTCCAAAATATGTATAATACAATAATATTAAGAATAAAGGAGAAGGAACTTTTAGAAAAATGAAAGCAGTAATATTTAGACCATGCCTTACTTCTTGGCCACAAAACATGCTTTTGATTAGTACACAGTAATAAATTTATGATTTTTTAAATTTACATTTTATATAATATTAAAATAAGAGCTAGTGAGATAGATTAGTATGAAAAGGGGCTTTCTACATATGGCTGGGGATCTGAGTTTGAACCCTGAAACCTGATTTAGAATTTAAAAAAAAGCAACTCCTGAAAATGGTCCTCTGATTAACACATCTGCACACACACACACACACAAACACGCACGCACACACACACACAATCAGACATCAGACAGACTCATGCACGTGTTCGTATGTGACTGAGAGACAGAATAACAGTAAATAATACTTTAAATTTTTCAAAAATTGAAGCAATGCTTATTTTATGCATTCTGAATAGTTTATTTAGACATTGTATTCTATCATAAACTGTCAAAAATATGTAAAACTCTCATTCAAAAATGTAACAAATCTATACTTCTATAGTCATAATTATATGTTATATAGACAAAGTACCTACACGAT